ACGGGCCTATGGCGGGACGGGCCATGTGATTACCGAGAACGCGCAATTCGCAGGACGCATACACGGCAGCGCTGAAAGGCGGCCGCATATCATTGATTTGAAGCTGGACCCGAAGATGCTGGCGACCTCAAAGACCTTTGAACAGGCGGCAGCTTTCCAATCGCGAAAATTGCTTCAGAAACTGGTTCCCACGTCTTGGGTTCGGCTCTGATCCGCTGGTTTGTCCAACATTGTGACTTCTCTTGCGGGAACGGGATCGAGATATTGTGGTCGTGGAACGTGTCCCAAAGCGCCAGAAAACGTTGTGCCGCGAATGTTGGTCAGCCCCCCCGTCGGGTCCTTGATCCAGAAGCGTAAGATGTAGTCCACCGATGAATCGGACCAAAACCCACGATGTGGCAAACGGCGGGCGATGGACAGCACGCGGTCCACGCCCTGCGCCGCCTCAATCGCTAGTTTGCGGACGATATGAGGATCGTCCGCGTAAGTCCGGGCCGAAGTAGATATCGGCCGCACAAAATCGTTTGGAAGGGACCAGTTAACCACCTGATTGTGATCAGGGCTTCGTTCGGAATCAGGTACTCCTTGCCGTCCCGCGTCACAACGCTGACGTATCGCGCGCCAAGCGAGTTGATCCAGCCGAACGTTTCACCAAGACTGATGACATCCCCGGTGTGATCGACTTATCCAGCAGGATAATGACCCCAGACACCAGGTTAGAGACGACTTTCTGCAAGCCGAAACCAAGGCCCACACCAATCGCACCGACAAAACCGCAAGGCCGTCAGATCGATCCCGGTCAGCCGAAGGCCCAAATAAATCGCGATGGTAGGAAGGTGACTTGCAGAAACTTGATCGCCAGCACCCGCATGTCGGGCGACATCTCTTCGTTTTTCTCCACCCGATTGGTCGCGGTCCCGGTCAGGAAGCGGGCAAGGATGCTCAGGGCGGTGACCACAGAATGCCTGCACCACGGTCAGCAACGAAAGCCGCGTGTCGCCAAGGTCGAAACCCACGGAATCAAGGATTGCCGAAGGCTCGTCCGTCAGGTTCAGGATTACGAGTGTGACGAAAATCCACGCGCCATAGCGGACGATCCCCCCGCAGGAACGCGGACCGGATTAGGCGGGTGACGAACACGACGAACAGCCAGGCGGAAGAGAGTTCGGGCCACGATTGTCAGGAGGAACGAGTGAGACGGCCAGGCAACCTCGCGCATTCCAGCACGACGATCCGATACGGATCACGAAGAGATGATGAACAGGCGGCGGTGGATGATGGCCAGAATGCGCATCCGCCACGTGGGCCAACCTTCACGGGAAGCCATCCAAGAAGGATATGAGGCCCAAGAACGTGCTTTCATCAGCCACGCGGCCCAAGAAGCGCAACATAATGCCAACCTGATAGGCATTCCATGGCCGCAGGAGAGAGGCAAAACGTCCTCTATCTGGCCGAGCAGACCCGAAATTTCGCCAATGGCTGTATCGATCGCTTCTGCTTCGGCATCGACAATCTCTTCTGGAATTTCTTCGGGGTCCATTTGGGTCCTTACCTGCTCAGGCAACAGCCTAGCCGCGGGGCAGCGCGCTAGCAAGCGTCACCTTGGCAACAGTGGTCAGCGCGCGTGTAATTCCGGCGCATGATCAGCTTTTTGATATGGCGACCGCGCGCGCCTGCGTGAACGCTTTTTTGGCGCGCAGATGAGGGTTTCAGGGCTTTGACACCGCGCCGCCTGACGATATCGACCAGACCCACATTCTATTCCGACAGGATCCCCGCCCATGACCGGCAAAACACTCTACGACAAAATCTGGACGCGCATTTGGCCAATGAGGCCGAGGACGGCACGTGCCTCTCTCATATTGACCGCCATCTGGTCCACGACGTGACCTCCCCCCAGGCATTCGAGGGGCTGCGCATGGCGGGCCGTGGCGGCATGCGCCCGACAAGACCATCGCCGTGCCGGATCATAACGTGCCCACGACGGAAGGCCGCGATGATCCAAGAACATGACCGAGGACAGCGCCATTCAGGTCGCGGCCTGACAAGAACGCCAAGGATTTCGGCATCCACTATTATCCCGTGTCCGACGTCCGCCAGGGCATCGTGCATATCGTCGGGCCCGGAACAGGGCTGGACCCTGCCCGCATGACCGTGGTGTGCGGCGGATGCCACACGGCAACCCACGGCGCGTCGGCGCGTTGGCGCATGGCATCGGGACCAGCGAAGTGAACACGTTCTGGCGACGCAAACGCTGATCCAGAAGAAGTCCAAGACATGAAGGTGGAAAATCACCGGCAGCTGGCCCCCGGCGTCACCGCCAAGGACATCACGCTGACGGTGATCGGCGTGACCGTGACGGCTGGCGGCACGGCTATGTGATCGAGTATTGCGGCGAGGCCATTCGCGACTGTCCATGGAAGGGCGCATGACGTCTGCAACATGGCGATCGAAGGTGGCGCGCGGGCGGGCATCATTGCCCCCGATGAGAAGACGTTTGAATACTGCATGGGCCGCCCCCACCCCCGAAAGGCCCCAGTGGGGAGGCCGCGCTGGCGTGGTGGAAGACGCTCTACAGCGATGACGATGCGGCATGGGATGAGGTGATCACCATCCGGGGCGAAGATATCGCACCCCGTCGTGACTTGGGGCAACCTCGCCCGAGGATGTGTTGCCGATCACGCCCACGGTCCCCGCAGCGGACAGCTTGAAGGCGGCAAGGTCACGCGCGCAACGCTCGCTTGACTATATGGCGCTGACACCGGGCACGCCGTTTGGACCAATCGAGATCGACACGGTCTTCATCGGCTCTTGTACAATGGCCGGATCGAAGATCTGCGCGCCGCGGCCGAGATCCTGAAGGGAAGCAAGTCTCTGTGAAACGGCGATGATCGTTCCGGTGATCAGGCCTTGGTGCTGGGGCAGGCCGAGGAAGAGGGTTTGGCGGACATCTTCAAGGAGCCGTTTGAGTGGCGCCTTGCGGGCTGCTCTATGGCCTGGCGATGAACCCGACCAAACTGTCGCCGGGAGAGCGTTGCGCCGCCACGTCGACCGCACTTTGCGGGTCGTCAAGGCCGCGCGGACGCACACACCTGATGTCACCTGCGATGGCAGCGGCGGCCGCGATCACGGGCCGCCTGACGGACGTGCGGGAGCTGATGTAAGGCGGGATTATTCGCCGACTGGCCAGCGGCGGGGGTGAACCCCGCCCTACGCCTGGCCGTATCGGCACGAACCGCCGCCCGGTCCGTTCGCGGCCAAGGCTGAGGCACAGGATCACACCACCGGCAAAAGACCCACGGCTGCGATCACCAGTGACGGGCCCCGCGGCCTCGCCCAACCGTTCATCGGCGGCAGAGCGATGGGCCTGCACGGCCAGCGTATCGAAGTTGAACGGTCGCATGATCAGCGTTGCGGGAAGCTCTTTCATCACGTCGACGAAAACGATCAGAAGCCCGGTCAGGATCGACGGGCGCAGAATCGGCAGGTGAACACCCGCCAAATCGGCTGGGGTGCGGCCAAGGGTGCGGCGACGGCGTCACGTTGGGTTAATCGTACTCAAAACCCGCATCATAGGCACTAAGGCGGCGGCCATGAAGACGGACGCCATAGGCGGCGACTAGCAAACCGATGGACCCGGTGATCAGAAGGCCGTATCGATACCAAAGCGCGCCTCCTGAATGCATCCAGCGCATTGTCAAAGGCCGCGAAGGGCACAAGAAGACCGACGGCGATGAACCGCCGGGAACCGCGTACCCAAGGCCCCGCCACGCGGATGCGCGGCCTGGCGGCGCGGGTCGGATGCAGGCTGGCGTGAAACCCAGATGACGGCAGCGGCGACCGTAAACACGGCTGGCGATAGACGCCAGGATCAGCGAGTTGCGCAGGAAACGCAGGTAGCGTCGGTCAGAAGCGTATCAAAGCTATCCCACCCAAGGCCGAGGAGAGGCCGACGGGCAGCACGAATCCAAGGAAAACAGGAAGGCTGCAAAAGGCGATCGCGCCTGTGCGTCATCCAACGCGAAAGTTCGACGCCTGCATCGCCTCGAATCGGCGGCCCGCACCATGCTGGCGCTGATCACAGGCGCTGGCGACGCTCCAGCGCCGCGATGACGAGCGCGACGATCAGCAGGCACAGGGCCAGTTGCGCGGCGCCACCGCGATCAAAGAACGAAACCACGCTTGATAGATGCCCGTGGCAAAGGTCTGCACGCACGAAATAGGACACGGTGCCGAAATCGGCGAGGAGTCTCCATCAGCGCAAGCAACACACCACCGGCAATGGCAGGCCGCGCAATCGGCAGAGGAGGGAAACGCGGAAAAACGCGCTCCAGGGGCCTGGCGCCAAGGGTGCGCCCGGCGATATAGGCACGTCGCGCTTTGCTGGCAGGAAGGCGGCTCGGGTCAGCAGGTAAACATAGGGATAAAGTACAAGGGTCAGCATCAGGGCGGCCCCGCCGAGAGACCGGATTTCCGGGAACCAGTAGTCACGCTGGGCCCCCACCCCGTGAAATCGCGAGAGAGAGAGGTTTGAACCCAGCCCGGATGGTCACGGAAATCCGATAGGAGTAGGCAAGGACAGAGCCGGAAGGCGAGGGGCAGGGCGAGGGCGACTTCTCCAGAATGCGGCGACCCGGGAAGCGGGTGGCGGTAACCAGCCAAGCGGCCCGGTCCCGATGATGCAGGTGCCGGTCCCGACAGCAGGATCAGAAGCGCCGTTAGTGCCGCATAGCGCGGGAGGACGGAATTGAGAGGCTTTGGAAAGTCTCGAACCCGCCGGAAAGGGCGGCAATGGCAACGGCGGCACATGGGCAAAAGAGGCACATCGCAGCGGCAAGCCGGCGAGGGTAACAAGCCGGAGGGGAGAAGGGGATGCAAAAGCGGTGCGCATAATCTTGGTGTTTTTGTCGGATTGCTGCGAATTGCAAGGGAGACACGCTATTTGCCGTGATCCAGCCCCTCCTCGTGCCCTTTAGGGCGCTCCTCGCAGGGGTGGTTGGTCGGGCTGAGAGATTCGAACCTCCGACCCCCTGCTCCCGAAGCAGGTGCGCTACCAGGCTGCGCCACAGCCCGCCGTGCCGCGTGGGATAGCGGCGGTGCGGGGGCTTGGCAAGAGAGTCAGCGTGGTGGCGAGGGTGGGACCGCGCCGCTCGGACGACAGGAAGGGGGCGACGCGAAGACCACTGGGCGTGCCCACGGGGTGCGGGTGCGCAGGACGGGCGTGGTGGCAGAGGTGCCGCTGCGTTCCTCTCGCAGGACGATGTAAAGGCCCGAGGCGATGATGATGGCGGACCGATCAGGGTTGGAGTATCCATCCCCTCATCAAACAGGAAGTAGCCGAAGACCGCTGCCCAGAGGATTTGCGAATACTGCATCGGCGCCACCATGATCGCGGGGCCGCGCGGTAGGCGAAGATCAGGCAGGGCGCTGGCCATCAGGGCAAGGGCCGCGATCACCGCGACGGCGGCAAGGTCCGTGCCGGGCATCGGTTGATAGTTGAACGGCATCGCCGCGCCCATCAGCACGAAGTTGGCAACCATCGGATAAAGCAGCATGACGACTGAGCGTTCTCGCGCCCGATTTTGCGCATGATCGAGAGCCCATCGCGCCGCCCACCGCCGCCAGTAGCGCGCGCCGTGGCCAAGTGACAGCTCGGTCCCGCCCGGTTGCAGCAGCACCACGACCACGCCAACCAATCCAATCGCCACCGCAAGGCCGCGCCGCCAGCCCACCGTTTCGCCCAACATCGGGATGCCAGGATCGTGATCAGCAGGGGGGCCGCGAAGATGATCGCATAGACCTGTGCCAGCGGTCAGCACCGTGAAGGGTAGAACACAGATGCCATGGTGCGGAGGCCGCCGTGCGCGCGCGATCCACCAGGGATGCTTGGGCCGCAGTTTGGCCGCGTCTCGTCTCAAACAAAAGGAACGTGACGATGGGAAAAGCCGAACAGCACCGAGAGAACACGATCTGAAACGCGAATAGTGCCGCCCAGGTACTTCACGATGATATCGTGGGTCGAGAAGATCCCGAAGGCCATAGCCCAAGAAGCGCGCCGCGCAGGTTCGAGAAGGGGTCACAGGAATGATCCAGCAAATATGATGTGTGCCATAGCGATACCAGCGCCGCCATGGCACGCAAGGGACGGTTCTGCATTCCGCTATGCGAGGGCAGTCTACATCGCGCATGGTTAAGGCAGGGTTACGAGCAGAGGTCCGTCTGCCACGTGACGGTATTGATCCCGCGCCGGCACAGGACTGCCGATGCATGGTTCAGGCCCAGACACCGTCTTGCTGTTTAGCACATATATTGCAGGCGCTCACCGTTTACGGAATCGTCGGCATAGCCCGTTTCCGCCACGAGGATGGTCATCTGCCGAAGAAATCGAGGCTAACTTCAACGTCAATCGGGGGCGGCCTTTTCGCCGTAAGAGAACGCCCCAAGCGCCTCTGGGCGATCTGAAGTGGGTCTTCAAAGGTGTCGCCCACGGCAAAGCCATCGGCGTGGACGGCGGTGGTCGATAGGCAAAGCGAAAAAGCAGGCGGAACATGGCAATCTCCTTTAGGTGCAATACCCAAGATTGCCATGCCGCATGTCATAGGCGAGGGGGGTTACGCCGCCAGTTTGGCGATGATCGCGTCGCCCATTTCAGAGGTAGAGATCGGCGTGCCGTCCTCTGGCCCCATCAGATCCGCCGTGCGGGCACCATCGGCCAGAAAACGATGATTCAACCGCCTTCTCCAGCCGCGTAGCTCATCCCCAGATCGAAGGAATAGCGCAGCGCCTGGCGAAGCTGAGGATACAGGCGATGGGGTTGGCCTTGCCTGACCGGTGATGTCGGGGGCAGAGCCGTGGACAGGCTCATACATCGCCTTGGGGCGGCCGTTTTCCATCGGGGCACCAAGCGAGGCGGAGGGCAACATTCCCAACGACCGGTCAGCATCGCGGCGCAATCACTCAGGATATCGCCAAACAGGTTGTCGGTCAGGATCACGTCAAACTGCTTGGCGCGCGGACCAGCTGCATCGCGCCATTGTCGGCGTACATGTGCGACAGCTTCACATCGCCGTATTCGGCTGCGTGGACCTCATTGACCACATCGCGCAGAGGATACCGCTTTCCATCACATTGCCTTCTCCATCGAGCAGACCTTGTTGTTGCGGCGGCGGCCAGTTCAAACGCGGACCGGCGGCGCGGGCGATCTCGCCTCCGTATAGCGCTGGGTGTTGATGCCGACGCGCTCATTACCCTCGACATGAATGCCGCGCGGCTCGCCGAAATAGACGCCGGAGGTCAGTTCCGCACAGAATCATGATGTCGAGGCCCGAGACAATCTCGCGCTTCAGGCTGGAGAAATCGGCAAGCGCATCAAAGCACTGGGCCGGGCGGAGGGGTTGGCGTAAAGGTCCATCTCCTTGCGCAGGCGCAGAAGGCCACGCTCGGCTTCACCGAGAAATCGAGGTCGTTCATAGGCAGGCCCACCGACGGCCCCAGCACACGGCATCAACCGATTGCGCCTTCTCCATCGTCGCGTCAGCCAGCGGCACACCGTGGGCGTCATAGGCGGCACCGCCGACCAGATCCTCGGACACGTCAACCTCGATACCACGGGCCGTGCCGAACCAATCGATGACCTTACGCACCTCGGCCATCACCTCGGGGCCGTGCCGTCGCCGGGAAGGATAAGAAGGGAACGGTCGGTCATGGGTCTGGTCCTTGTCTGAAAGAGTTGCCGATGCGGTAGCGCGGCGCTTTGGCGCGTCAAGAAAGCAGGGCGTGATTGCGCGATCAAGGGCGGTCCAGACGGCGGCAACACGGGGCTGATGCCGCAAGCTGGGGTGCGCAGTGAGCCAGACGGGCAGGGGCGGAACGGGCAGGTCGGGAAGGATACGCCGCAGGCCGGGGGTGCGATCCGCCACGACGGTCTGGCCGATGCCAATGCCACAACCAGCGGCGACAAAGTTCCAATAGGCTACCTGATCATCGGTGCAGGTGGTGAACCAGTCGCGCGTCACCTCCATCCCCATTTCCCGCATCCCGCGCAGGATCAGGTCGCTGCGGTCATAGCCTACCATCTGATGATCACGCAGCGCTTCGGCGGTTTGCGGCGTGCCGTGCCGCGTGATGTAGCGATCCGCCGCATATAGCCCAAGGGGTAGCTCACCCAGATGCTTGGTGATCATGTCAACTGTGTAGGCCGATACATGCGCAGCGCTATGTCGGCCTCGTGAAACAGGAGGTTGTCGGTCGCATCAGACGCCACGACGTCCAGCGCGATGTTGGGGTGCGCCTCGCGGATCTGGCAAGGATCTGCGGCAGGATATGGGCGGTGACAAACACAGAGGCGCGGTGATGCGCACCCGCCCGGAGGTGTCGGGCGATTGCCAGCAGCCAGGACGCTTACGGTTTTCGCGGCATCGCTCATTTGACGCGCGGCGGGCAGTAGCGTGTCACAGAACGGTGTGGGCGTCAGGCCGCGGGCGTGGCGGGTGAACAGCGGTGGCCAAGCACTTGCTCGCCGCCTTGATCTGCCGCCCCAAGGTGGGCTGCGTCAGCGCCAGTTGATCCGCCGCGCCGAAAGGGACCCGGTTTCAGCTACTGCAGAACGGCCCGCAGTAGGCTCCAGTCTAAGGTCGTATCCATGCAACCACGCATATCAGAGGAACAGAAAATGACAAATAAATGCGTTTGTGAATGGAGAGGGTCTGAAAAACCAAAGGAGATCCATATGCCCCGTATTGCCCTGATCCTCGGCCCCACCGGCCGTTTTGGCCGAAACATGGCCAACGCCCTCGCCCGACACGGGTGGGAAATTCGCCGCTTCGATCGTGCGACTGACACGCTGCCCGAAGCCGCCATGGGCGTCGATCTGATCGTGAACGCCTGGACCCGCCCTATTCGCAATGGGCCCGGCTGGTGCCCGGCTTGACCCGGCAGTCATCGATGCGGCGAAGACCTCGGGCGCGGCGGTGCTGATCCCCGGCAATCTTTACGTCTACGGAGAGGACCTGCCGCCAGTTCTGTCGCCGGAAACGCCGCATGTCTCGGCGCACCACCTGGGCTGATCCGCCGGAAATGGAGGCCGCCTATCGCGATGCGGGCGTGAAGACGATCAAACCTGAGGGCCGGGGATTACATCGATATTGAGGCTTCCGGAAATTGGTTTCGACAGGATCATCGCGGCGAAAGCTGGGGAAGGGAAATTCACCTATCCCGGCCCGCTGAACCAGCCTCACGCCTGGGCCTATCTGCCGGATGTGGCCGAAGCAGGGGCGCATTGCTGGCGCGGATGGATGAATTGCCCGCGTATAGCGAGTTCACCTTCGAAGGGTTCACCCTTTCCGGCGCCCAAATGGCCGAGGCCATCGCGCGGGCGATTGGGCGGCCTGTGCGGGGCGAAAATCGATGAGTGGCTGCCAATCCGGATCGCGCGACCGTTCTGGAAGGAGGCAAAACAACCTGCTGGAAATGCGCTACATCTGGCGGCGTCCACATTGCGTTGACGGCAGCGCCCTGGCGGCGCGGGTGCCGGAATTCACCCCGACACCGCTGGAAGAGGCCCTACGACTGGCCATGAAACCGCTGCTATGAGGACGCTCTAGAATTCCACATCAACCCAGACGAGGCGATGATCGGAGGCCTCTTCCACCGCTCGAGTATCGGCCCGTCGGCTGGCCAGAAAATACCCGCATCTGTCACCGATAGATTGCGGGAAGCAGCAGATAATCGACCCTCAGATCGCCGGGCGAAGGCTCGTCCCAATCGGCGTTAGGCCTTCCGGCACCGGATTTTGCACGGCAGGATGTGACAGGAGGTCAAGCAAAGGCCCATGCAGGCCTTCGCCCCGTTCCGGGTCCACGTTCAGGGTGCCCATATAGGCGAAATGATCGGGTGGCGTGTCGTCCAGGTAGAGGGTGCCAGAACCGGACCTCATCGCTGTTGCGCAGGCCGTTGCGATCCTCGGGCCGTCAAAAACCGGGGTTGTGGCGTGGGACATCAGGATGTGAAGCGGGCCGTTCGGGGTCAGAACCTCCACATCCCAGGCCCCGACGGTGTGAAGCCTAAGGACGGGC